TCCGGGGACTTCCGGCCGCAGTATACGCCGTGAAGTTGTTTGCGGCCTGCCAGTAAACCCGAAGAAGTAGTAGTAGTAGCGTCAGTGGCTCCCTCAGGGACTTATTCCCGTGTAAACGAGATTTACTAGATAGTTCCAGGAAATAAAGGTTCCGGGAACTATTCCTGGGAAAAGTACTTGGTGTGAAAGCGCCTATGGATACACCTGTGAGTTGGATGTAGAAAAGTCAGAATTAATATAGATGTTTTTATTTTAAAGTAAATTCAGATTGAACATAGTAAAACAAATTTAAATTATAGTTTCCGTCCAAAAAAACCACATTACTTATAGAGATGTCCCGATCTGATCACGTGATCGGGGATCGGAGCCGATCACGTGATTTTCAAAAGATCGGAAGGAAAAAAATCGGGGGTCGGGATTTTTTTTTTACACAACATCATGTATGTGTTGCTTCTTTTGGGCTTGTTTTCATAGACCTGGTTGCTTATTTCTCTCAAATCTGGAAACAGAGTGGGCGCAGTGTCTAATAGTAGCAGTAAGCTAACGAGAGGCTACGTTCAGCTGGTGACTCTGGAGTCGGGACAGAGAAAATGTTAGGAGTTTGGAAGTATTATAAAGTTGAAAGCGAAGGAAGTGTAACAGCCAGATGCAATGTTTGCAAGGCGGAGGTTCCACGTGGTGGAAAGAACAGAGCTACGTTCAACACGACCAATCTAATACGCCACCTGAGAAACAAACACCAACAACAACACGACGAGTACACAGCGGCCACTCAGGAAACGGCACTGAAACAACCGACACTTTCAGAGACTTTTAAAAGGAAAGACAAACTGCCCCAGAACAGTGAAAAGGCCAAGAAAATAACAGCCAAGATAGCTGAATTCATCGCGTTAGATGACCAGCCGTTATCTGTTACCTTTTTTTTCTCTTACTGCATTGCATAAAGATCAGATCGGGAAAAATCGGTATCGGCAGATTGTCAAAATCAAATGATCGGGAGCAAAAAAAGGTGATCTGGACATCCCTAATTACTTATAGTGAAAACCACCCTTGAATGATGGGATAGCAGACTAAAAGCTTTAGGAATCCAAACTATAACATATAATAAGTACCCTGTATCAAGATTGATGCAAAACAAGTGATATTTGACCTTTTTAGGGAGATTTAGAAAGAAAAAACCACCTCTGGGGTCATTTGGGTGGATTTGCCATATCTCTGGAACCCATTGGTTGATTTTGGTGATTGACACCTCTTTTGAACCGTTAGAGCCAATAGAATCGAGAGGGAAGTTCCTAAATCCACCTACACGTTAACATTGAGGAGTGAGAGTGATGCGCACGCAGTTTGCCCAAACCGAAAGCTATGTTACGCTCTGAAAACTGAAAACTAGGCTTATTGCCATAAATATGATGATGGATTATCAGTAATCATTTAAAAGGGAAACAGAGACATTGGATTAACCTTCAACATCGCTTATCTGCGTTTTAATGCTCTTGAACACAACTTTTGATCAGAAAACAGCAAAGGTAAGACGTATTTGCCGTTTTGGCTACGTAAAGTGAAGTTGTGTGTTATCTTTGCTGGCTTTCGCTGCCGCGAGTTTTGGTCGCACAGTGATGATACTTATACCATCGGAATCTGTGGAATCTCAGCTTTCATATGCTATCGGGTTTGTGCAGATCTGATGAAGTATACAATATTTCTACCGTGAGTTATGCGCTTAGTGCTAATTCAGAGGCTCGGCGTTAGACTTGTGTTTTGTTTCGGTAAAAATTGTTCATATCGTCAGGTAGCTGAGTTTCTTCCCGTTAGGTGGGTATGACACATTGTTTGTTAAATGTTAAGAAGCCCTCAGACGCTGTTTCTTGCAAGATGTTGCGGGGGCTCCCGGGCTTAACAGGTTAAGAGCCAGTGCATGACATTAAGGATTTTGGGCCTGTGGGCCTAAGCTAATTTACAGATGGCCCTGAGCCCAGTAGAGATTGCCCTGAAAAATGCGTGCGGACGAAATGACGCACGAAGGGTTTGGGGGGCCTCCCCATAGACAATTTAGATTGTTGCAGGTCTTAGATGCTGTCTGGTGCATTCTCTAGACTGAATTATAAGATGAGCCACCACAATATTATATTGTACAATTTCAATTTTATTCTTCATTTCACTTGTTTGTTCTTGTTTGTGTTTGCTCGCTTGCATGCCCTGCATAGCTATATGAAATACTTAAGTTGTTGGTCAAGACACTTTCCATCTGATGAAGGCAAATGCCTTCCCAAATGTAAAAAAGTAGAAAACATTACATTCAGTTATAACTGCCAAAACAAACATTATGTACACTATTATGGCCCCTGTTAAAAATGTTTGTAATGTTATCTACTGTAAATTGGTCGAACGAATGCCTCCTCATCCGGAAGCTGACCGAGCAGCAGTCGAGAGGAGCCGAGCGCATCCGCGAAGCACACAAAATGGCGACGTCAGAGTTCCCGTTAGCCAGCAAATCTAAATCTCTTCGGTCAAAATGTCCAGTCAAAATAATTTCCCTTTAGCGCAATACCGCTTCAGTTGCGCCACTTATGTGACAGACAAGAAGAGTATGTGACAGACAAGAATAGTCAATTCTAATGTCTAACACTTAATGTGGAGAAAGAGATGTCCTGCATGGGTTGATTGTGCGTTGATCTGTTGGTAATGCCTCGGGGTTCCGGTGGGCATGTAAACAAATGCATAATGCTGCGCTATATTTGTGGCCTCACCCGGTGGCATAGCGACACTTATTGTTTAGGTGTCTTTTAATAAGCAGGTAGTCATATCATTAGCTAGAACTAGCTGGATCTGATCGATATGGACATAAACGCGAGTGAAGTCTAATCTGACGGGAGAGAGAGATCAGCTGCTGCTGACGAGTCGACACGCAGCTCTGCATGATCACATGCAGCGGTGAGCGGACAAAACACACACTTCAGGTTAGAATATCACACGTAGCTATTTTAATCACCTCTCAAACTACCTAAACTAGTTATAGATATGTTTAGTTTTACTGTCGGGTCACTCATTACTGGATCCGCAAGCTGCATGATACTGGCACAATAGATTGCCCGATCGGGCAACCAGCAGGTGAGGCTTCATTGCCCGAGCTAAATACTAGATGGCCCCGGGCCATCGTTAATGTCGAGCCCCGAGAGCACTTTGATATAACATGCTGACTTCCATTTTGTTTCCAAATACATACCTGGGTTACATTCGAAGATAACCGTTTTAGCATCCTCAGGTTCTATATGCTGTGCTACCAGCTGAGCCAGGTCTGGGTCCACTATGTAGTGTCTGGCAATTTTAGAGGACTGAGCATGGAGTCTATTCTCCTCGACGTCACCGAGATCCAGGAAGTCATCCAGGTAGACATACCGGGACAGAGGACGACACTTGCCCTGGAGAGAGACCAGATAATGCAGATAGAAAGTGAAAACCGTTGCTACCATGTAAAAATGCTCACAGTATATTGAAAAGTAATGTGTAATGTTTTACTGCTCTCAATTGTATTGATTATTATACGTCACACATAGTGGTTTAAGTAGCCAGGAAAAGTCAATAATTATACACCGTATTATCCTAAACAATCAGTAACAGAGTGCAGAAAACTTCAAAGCAGTATCTATAGGAGTACAACCAAAACATGTAAATTACTGCGTAGCATAGGAACTATATTGATCCCCCATAGGGGAAATGTATTTGTTACAGCAGCTCAACAACAATACAATTAAGGGACAAATCAAGCAAAGCCAAAGAAAAGTGCCTACCTGGAGAGCCACAACAGACAGGTTCCTCTGTGCGAGTGCTGAGGAAGACGTCCTCTCTGCAAGAGGCTGCTGGGAGCTTTGACCAAGGGTATGTCGACCAGGACCCGAAGAGAGAGAGTCCAGGCTGAGGGCCCTTCTATGAAGCACAGGAATCCCAGAGATACACCGGCCAGAATGACCCACAGGGGGAAACACTGCCTTGTGCAAACACAATCTGCTTCTGATGGTCTGGCAGCAGGCCGGGCGCATCATCAGCTCCACCAGTCTAAAAATGTGGATGGACATAGTGGACCTTCAACTACAGAAGAAAGAGACGAGACGGGAGGGAGATGGGGGGCTCCTCAAGAGGTCATTCCCTAGAGTGATTAGAGAAAAAAGGACACGGGATTATAAAATGAATGTCAGACATTGAAATAACACTATTAGAAAAAACATGTGCTAGCATTAAATGGTTAACTAGACTTTTTGCAGAAAAACGGTACATGTAACGTTCGCTAATTATTCTTAACCCAGTATTTGAAAGGGTTAAGAAATTAGAAATCATTTAAAAGTGAAATGATTCAAGCAAGTGTCAATTATTAATAATAAAGTCAATACCGATATTCAAATATACGTGTGTGCCAAAGTAAGTACGTTATCAAATGTTCTCCTTGCACGTTTGGAGGTAACGTTTGGTTTCTTTTTTATCAAACTCACTGGAGAGGTATTCACCTTTTCCACCCTGTAAAATCACAGTGTTTGAGTATATGTACGCCAAAGAAGCACACAATAACATTGCATACACTCTGTTACAACTCCTTAGTTGATTTGTTAGAGGATTCTGAGGATATGTAAGTTGTTAGCGCGCTGGCTAGCGTCACGCTAACGTCACTAACTACTACAATGAGTTTGCATGCGCTATATCTAAACATACCTTATTGAAGAATATCCTCTATATATCCAAATAAAACGACATCAGAGATGTAATGCCTCTTGTGTGTCTGGTTCCTGTTTGGACTCCGTGACATTGAGGCCTCAGTTGTTCTTGTAACTCTCGTGCTCGTGGTGCAGATCCAGGCGCATCTGAATGTCGTCATTGAAAGGCGTCTAGGTAGAGGACCAATCAGAAACGCGAGGAAGTTGTTGCGCTAACGACTTCCTGCTAATGCTAAAATATACCATTACACACTTAACACAAATAGATAAATTAAACTAACTTAGATGGGCTGACTCTCTTTGGAATGAGCCAGTTATTGTTATAAAACATTCACTGACCTATAATACACACGTAACGTGACAAAATGTTTTGATACGTAATTATTTTGATAGTAAAGAAAACCTCACGCAGTTGTTAATGTCTGTTAGCATATTAGCATAATGTTGCTACGGAAGTAGACTCTGGAGCGCTGTCAAAAGTGCACGCAGTCAGCTCTGCTCTGTCAGTCAGTCAGAGAGACTGGTGCAGGTATCATCTCATCTAACTCCTCCACTGTTGCTGCTGTAACCATGGCCCGTGTCGAAACATCATCCAGCAGACCCTACCATCTCATTATCTTCGGAGCCTCCGGATTCACGGGACAGTTCGTGGTGGAGGAGGTGGCCCGGGTCGCATCCGAGGGTCCAAACGGGAACCTGAAGTGGGCGGTGGCCGGCAGGAGCAAGCAGAAGCTGGAGAAAGTTCTGGAGCAGGCGGCCGCAGAACTCAGTACGTACCCCAACAACTCCATTAGTTGTGCGTTTTCTCTGAGGTGGACAAATTACTCTTGTACTGAAGTCAAAGTAGAAGTACCAGAGTGTATGGTTACTCTTTTAAAGTTCTGCAATCAAACTTTTTCTCAAATAAAAGTGGAAAAAAGTATTGACATTAAATTATACTACCAAATTATACTACCAAAAAGAAGTAGCCTACTCATATTTCAGATCGAACAATTTCAGAATCATTTATATCATATGTTTTGATTATAATTATTGATGCATTAATTTGTGTTTATCAAAGCTGGTAAAGGTGCAGCTAGTTTTTTACTTTGAATACTGCAGGGTAGCTTGTGAATTTTACTCCAGGTGACTAAAGTCTGATTTAGTGTTTTTTATATTTCACATCATTAATCTAAATCTGCAAAGTAACTAAAGGTATTGAATAAATGTAGTGGAGTGAAAGTGCACGCTTTACCTCTGAACTGTAGTGCACTAGAAGTACAAAGTAGCAAAACATTTAAATACTCAAGGAGAGTACAAATCCCTCAACATTGTACTTAAGTAGAGTACTTGACCAAATGTACTTAGTTACTTATTTTGATCAGATTGTCTCTAGAACCAACAGTTCTGCCACGGGATAGTTTCTTTCAGTGAATATTTCCACCATCAGAAGGATGGATAATGTAGTTAGAGCTGTGCCTCTAATCAGGTTTTACAGAGTATTTACAAAGGCATACGGAAATCACTTAACTCTCAGTTCAACTCAGGATCACTAATCTATCCAAGTTGAGCTTGCTGATAGTGATTCGTTTAACATTACTTTGACCTTAAACTCTAACTTAACTCCAAAGTATAAGCGAGGAGGCAACTTGACAAAAAGAAATCATACCATTATTGAAATTGTATCCACCAAAAACTAATTTTTGAGCTCTTACTTTTTTCCCCTTTGAACAAAGTTAATAAAGATAAGGCATGGTTCAACTCTCACCTTAAATAACTCAACCAACAACTTAAACAATTTATCCTTACTGCTGATGGTGAAAAAGACAAACAAGATTACTAACAAGGAGTAAGAGTTGTAAAAAATGCTCAACACAATTTGCACAAACTGCCAAACTACAGCAACAATACATTGGAATGCTATTCCCTGCACTAATAGTATCTGTAAGATTTTTTATTATTTTAAAATAATAAAACCATCAAACTTTAAGTCAATATATTTGCTGATGATCAGCCTTAAATGAATTGATAGATTAATGTGTTTGATGACAAATATTTGAAAAAAAGAAAATTCCATTTACAATTACACACAAAAAAAGGAAAATTCTCAATTAAAAAAAAAAACGTTTTAATATTTATATTTACTGAATACCGGTAAACACTAATTGTGTGGGCCAGTCATTTTTTAGGATGTATATGCAACACTCTAAATCTGGATAATAAATTCCATGACTGGATCAAGAGCAGGGAGCTTTTCTGCTGTCATGATAGTAATGTGATTTTCCAGAGGATTAGGCAAGGCAAGGCAAGGCAAGGATTAGATATTCTGTTGTGTCCTCGGGGAGCGAACAACAGCTGATGGAACAAACCTGCTCACTGTACAATCCTCAGCCATGGCAGCACACACTGTCATTCAGGAAACACTGCAAGCAGTTTGTCCGTTTTAAACACAAATGTGCCTTTCTCCAACAAGCCCCAAAAAGTTAGTTATTTCACAGGATGCACAATGTTTGTTAAAGGCGGAATATGTGTCAAAATACCAATCTGAACAAAGTATTGTTGCAGCATACAAATCTAATTTTGCACTCTATAAAATCTTTGTTTAGTTTAGATTCTTGTATGATCATTTTTCAATGATAGTCAGGTAAAAATCATGATTTCTGAACAAACTCAATTTCCTTTCTCAGTCAAAATTATCGCAGTTAAATATGTTTATCCAAATCAATCCGCTCTTAACATTTTATGTGCTTCTAGTAGCCTATTTTCTCTTGTTCTTTCTCGCATACTCATTTCCCACAGCTGTACAGTATTTCCATATTCACACCTGGTAATCATGAATATTAGTAATTATGTTAACTATAAAGACGTTTGATGTTTGAGACTGTAACGCAAACATTTGTATTCTGTGTGTGCTTGCAGGTAAGCCTGAGCTGAGGTCAGTGGACGTCATTGTGGCAGATGTGGGAGAAGCAGGCTCTCTTGCAGCCATGTGCAAACAGGCTGTGATTGTTCTCAACTGTGTAGGGCCTGTAAGTAGCTGCCTATCATTCTCTTTTTTTTTAAATTACACATTTCTTTATCCATCTCATGACAAACTATTTTTCCTCACATCATCTCACAAATATAGCATGTTGGCATCTCCCTTTGGCACCAGTGCAGTTCAACATATCCCCGTTTTCTCTCTCTCATTAATACACACAGAGCAGCCTTTATTTACACAATGAAGCCAACTGACTTGCAGCACACAATATGTCGTATTGTATTTGAGTCAGGATGGAAAGCATCCAGCACTGCTTTGCGTTCTGTGTGAAATCAAGGTTCTTGTTTCAATTCAAATTCTTCCACTGCAGTTTCTCTACTGTTGTACACAGCAGCTGGCAACTTGGTTTAAATGGAGACAAATATTTGAAGTTAAAAAAAATACACCCTCTTATTTCTCTTATCAGTTCAGTGTTTCTATCTCGTCTTTTAAGTGAGTATACATTTAATAAATCTGGTAAAGGCCATTGAGAGTGGGGTGCTGCCAGTATTCTTGTGACCCCACGTTTCACATACTAGCCCAAGAAGAAGAAACAAGGAGTGTTACAAAGGTGGAATGTACTTCGCTCTGCGGGTTGGTTATCCAAAATCAACAAAATAAGGTTGACTATTTAAGACTACAAACAGAATAACAACTCGTAATAATCAGACAGATCATATGACTCACATGTATTTTTAAACATGAATATATATATAAAACAAAAGAAACCTCAATGTTCAAGTTTAACAGGATTCCCCTTGGAGCTAGGTTCTGCAGCTGCAATGCTTTGTGGGGAAATCCAGTGGATCATTTTTTATTATTAATCAGATATTTTATTAAAATGTTTGCAAACATTAATTTAAAACACAAAGTGTAATACACAAAGATGACACGGTGCATCTATCATCAAACATACTTGCATACAGACAGACATACCAACTGTGCTCAGAAGGTGAGGAAGGTTAATAAATGCAAATGAGCCAAATCAAATATCAGAAGAGAAGAGAATGATATGGTTGCATTCATGGACGGACTATATTAGAAGAGGTGTTGAGAAAATGAAGGGTATTTACTTTAACGCGTGTCATCACCTCCTCCACCCAGCGATTACGGGACGTTGCCAGCTGGGGATCATGTCTTGTTGCTGCATCGGCAACAAGAGGGAGTGAGTCAATATCTGGGGGGGTATGTTAGAATGCTAGGTATGGTGGAAAAATGAATTGTTAATTATAAATAAATGGTTTCTGACATGTTTTGCAACCAAAGGGGCCTCATACAACCTTCACATTTGTCCGAACGTGTGTGGAGGTTAGGCAGTAATGATAAGTAAAAATACCTTGAGATGTGATATGCAAGGGAATATCTGGTTTCAACTGTTTATTTTGAAGTGGTTACTGCAGACATCTTAGATTTAAACTTGAAACATTGTTGGTAAAGTCAAACTCTATATTCAGATTTGTGCTGAATAAACATATAATTGAAGAAATAATTGAAGGCTTATAAAGTTGTATTATTTATACAGAAGCTGTCAAAAGCTCTGTATTTGTGAGGAGTACCAAATTAGGCCCTAGGTTTAGACGGAGGCTTGGCCTGTTATTTTACTGGCTAACATTCAAAAAGTTGAACCCTTTTTTAGCCCAAAGCAAAGTAGTAACACAAACAATTGGCCGGGGAATCAGACCTCCACCAAATAAGAACAATAAGGTTTTGCATTATTTAAATATATGTGTCTCTGTCTGTGTATAGTACAGGTTTTTTGGTGAGCAAATGGTGAAGGCCTGTGTGGAGAATGGAGCCCACCACATTGACATCAGTGGAGAGCCTCAGGTATGTCTATGGTGCTGTTTTTCTTTACTATAATGTTGTGCACATCACTTATCACTTAAACTTGTAACTGTTACAGGGAAGTAATTTGTATTTTATTAACCTTTTTTATTTCCCTTCCTGAGACCTTAATCTTCTGAATACTAAAATGATATGTGCCCTAAATGTATTAATGCATGTGAAATTAAAGTAAAAAGAACATACCTGCATGTTTTCTGATCTGACTCTGCAGCTGTTCTAATGTTCAGACGTGCTGCGTTTCATGCTGCATCCTGTTAGACAAGATAATCACTCACTTGGCCGCATGACAGCAGTTTGTCCAGGCTGTTAGATGGAGGTCTGATGCACTTAAAACAGTCAAACCATCTGACCCTAAATTCCCAGCAGAAATCATTTATATACAAAATATTTGAGCAACTAATTTAGGTCATGCTGCTGCTAAATCCAGAATTGCTTGTGAGAAGGAACTAGGGCTTGGAACAGCAAGCTAGTCAAAATCTCTGCTTTATGAAATGTAGAACCAACTGTAGACCAATAGGACAGATGTCTGGCTTTTTTTTTTTTTTTAAACCTCAGCTATACATTTTTTAAATTTGTCAGACTAAATCAATTGGATTATGTTTTTTTCTAGATAAAGGTTGTGGTAATGCATATTAAGATCTGCCCAGTTTTCAAAGGGATATTTTCGGGTCTCTCTTTTTTAACCTTCATTTTAAACTTCTGTATTTAAAAATCATAGGTTTAAAAAAACAAAAACACAGTCCCCATTCTGACAGCCTAACTTTGATTCTGTTGTGTATTGATTCATTACATTACATTACATTGCATTTAGCTGACGCTTTTGTCCAAAGCGACTTACAATAAGTACATTCGACCAGAATTAGATTACATGTTAGACGCTTTTATCCAAAGCGACTTACTCAATAACTCAATAACTCAATACTCCTTTCCTATTCCTATTTCCTATTCCTTTAAAAGCTACACAAAACACCCCAACACCTTCACCATCATTTTGTGCTAATTGTTAAGAGGTGGGGAAAAAACTGTCTAATCTAAATCATAGTAACATTTCCATTAATTTTTTTAACTGGCACACAGAAAGCACTTGTTTGTGTCTTTACTATGTTTCTGTCTGGCTGTATGCAGTTCTTGGAGGGCATGCAGTTGAACTACGACAGCCAGGCAGCTGAACAAGGTGTGTACGTCATAGGGAGCTGCGGATTCGACTCCATTCCTGCCGACATGGGAGTCCTCTTCACCAGGGACCAGTTCAAGGGTAGGCTCACAAACACATTGATGCAAAATGACACCCGCTTCACTCCACTCGCCCTCTTTCTGTTGCTATTTTTTATCATATCTAAATCATGTGTATGTGTGTTCTTCCACAGGCACCCTGACTGCAGTGGAGAGCTTCCTGACTTTCGGCGCAGGAGAAGATGTATGTAACTTACAAGTCCAAACTATGGACCATCTTGTTGTTGTTCCTTGATCATCCACTTTCCTCTTTTTTGAACCCTTCTTCATTCTGTTGTCTTTTATGTTTTCCCCTTTCTTCCACCGCTTCTTCCTCCACATTGTCTCTCCACCATCCTCTCTCAGGGAGGATGTCTCCATGACGGCACGTGGCAGTCAGCTGTCCATAGTTTTTCTGAGGGCCATGAGCTCCAGACTCTCAGGAGGAAGTTCAATCACAAACCCCTCCCCACTGTTGGCTCCAAGATTAAACGCAGGTACATAGTAGAGTAGAAATTTCCTTCAGACATAAAAATAACGCTTCCTTTCCGTTTTCTCAATGGCACTTAAACAGTTGGTTTCTCTAACTTGCTTAAGAATTTAAGGAAACTCTGTCCAACTGGCAAATGTCATACAGTTACTGTTACTGATAAACTTTGGACCATATTTTTGCACAGGAACAATGGCTGTGTTTTCTGTCCCTTATCTGTTACATTTAGCTCATGTTGGGTAATATGAACAGGCAACATGACCACAGCAAAGTGAACAAACTCTATGCCTCGCTGTGACAAAGTTCCCTTCAGAATAACCTTTCACCTGGTCAGATAGCACGGCTGATAGCAGTCTATCATTAAAACGATATTTGCACCAGCAGTGCAATATGTTTGTTTAAGCAGCGATATCAAGTGGCATAACTTCAGTAGAACCTGGTGATTAATAAAACCAATATTGATATTTAAGAGTTAAAGAATCTAAAATAAATATATCAGGCAATTTTATTTTCCTAATAGTTGTATGGGAAAAATAAATATGTTCTATTTATTTTTGTTCATTCAGGAGGAAATATTACAGTGGGAAAAACTGCCTGTATAAATAATTAATTGAAAAAGATAGCTGTCATTACCATTTATTATACTTTGTACTGTAGTTTGCCCAACACAGTTGTTGATAATGTTGAGTGTATTTCTTTGTGTGAATTTGCAGGGGGAACTTGTTCTTCAGTAATGAGGTCCAGCAGTACTCTGTGCCCTTCCTGGGCTCCGACCCCTCCGTTGTGAAGAGAACTCAGCGCTTCCTGCTGGAGGAACATCACGACAAGCCGGTCAGTCTTTCACTTCGGTTTCCTTTAATCAAACTTTCTTTGTGTGGATCTTCCTCTAATTGTTCACTATTAAAATACATTTTTAATACAGTGTTAAGAAGAAAAATAACACCTACTGTATTGTATAATTTCAGTTTAAGTTAATTACCTTGTACTCTCACATATTTCGTTTTCATTTTTTATCGTGGACATTTTAGAAGGGAGGGGGTTAAAGTTTGATGAAAAAACCATTGTAACAAAAACAGTTATGTTTTAAAAACTGGTTTTGTTCCTGGCTTTTTTTCATTATGGAAAAGTTGGGATAGGGACAAATATGCAGCTGTTTTGTTCCAAATCTTTCTTTTTTTTGTTGTCTTGACATTTCTTGTTTTTAGCTTAAGATGGGGCCAACATGAGAACAGTGTTTATATTCAGGGGTGCACATAACTTTTTTGCCCTGGTTCTCAAAGGAGCACCTGGAGATGTTGCTTGGTGCTCATCCTTAAAATGAAATAAACCGTAACTTTTGAGGGGGTCTTGACTTTATTTGCCAGACACACGGCACTGAACACACGTGAGGTGAACACAGAACACACATGCAGAGGTGAACACAACACAAGACAACATTAGCACGACCAGTAATCCTACAAGCTGTCATCACTACCCTCCTGACTGTTCTCCTCACTGTCTTCCTCTCTGTCAGACATGGTAGCTGATGATGTAGGCCTACTACTTTCTCTCTGGTTGAGTCTGTGATTAGCTGCTTGCATCCACAAGTCAACAGCTGGTTTTGGGTCGAAAGTCTCTGTTGTCATCTTAGACAAGTGGATGTAATCAAATAAGTATGTGAACATAACCAATAGCCTACCATAGCCAATAACAAATTAATGTAACTTATTTTATTTGTGTTGTTCATTCATATCTTATTTTACCTTAACATTTATTTATTTATGCATTTTTTTTAAATCTCGTTTTAAAGGATATTTTTGGTTACTGTCCTATAGTAGCCTGTACATTGGAATGATTTAAAACCTGTTTATCCCAATAATTACAAAGGAGTGCCTTGGAAATATGTGTTTACATAAATTGTGACCAAACCGTTTGAATTTAGACTAAGAGTCCTTTACCTCACTGAGCTGTAGTTAACTTATCAGCCTCTCAGTCTGACTGGAGAGGACTCTCCCTCCACATTATTGTAGAAACATCTTCTTCTTCTTATTTCCGTTAGAGCAGCTAGCATGGCACCAGATTATTATAATAATAACAACAGCGCTGGTACCACCCTCCCTCTCTCCCTCGCTCACTCGCATTTTGTCTGTGAGCTGCGGGCGCCAGATAAGCCAACATCCCCCATTTTCATCACTTACAGCGCCCATCGTACAGGGCAAATGAAAGGTGGAACCGGGGTGAAAAGGGTGTTACATTGACTTAATTGTGAATATTGTTACATCAAGGCCGAAAATTAGGATGAGGCCCAACGGTCAAAATGTTTTTTTCCCTCCCAGAACTGCCAGCGCAGCACCTCCCCAGATCTGGCGCCCTAGGCGAACATCTAGCCAGTGCTACGGGCCGGCCCTGAGTTCATATCATGGTTCATATGCAACTCGCAAATATCTTTCTCTCTCTCCTCTATTTTCTCTTTTCTCTTCTCTCTCTCCCTCTCTCAATGTTGGTACGCAAATGCGCTTTGTTTCAAATGACCCGGTGCTCTTTTTTTGGCGGAGGTGCACCTGCGCACCAGTTATGTGCAGCCCTGTTTATATTACTGCCCCTGCCATGTTTGTCCAGCATCCAATGATCTGTTACTGTTATTCTCAGGTTCAGTATGGAGCGTATGTGGGAATCGGAGGAATTGGCAACGTTTTCAAGTTGCTGTTTGGGGGCCTGCTATTCTGGCTCTTTGTCAAGTTCAGTTTTGGACGCAAACTGCTCCTCAAGGTAAACAAACATTGCACATCACATAAGCCAATTTAACTGGGATATGTTTAGGTGCTTATGTGCATGTGTTTTATTTGCCCACCCTCTCAGCACCCAGAGTTCTTCTCCTTTGGAGTCTTCTCCATGGACGGACCGACTAGAAAGCAGGTAAACAAAAATAAAGTTAAAACACTGAGTTAATGCTCTGCTGCGGTTCATCTCATGCATATGCAAATACATCCATTTAGTTTAGATAGTAAAGGATGCTTGATTTTCTGATATATATTTTCTGTGTGTATTAGATGAAGGATTCAACCTTCCAGTTTGAATTCTTTGGAGAGGGCTACACGGAGGGGCAGGATCCCTCCCAGGGAGAACCCAACGGCAAGATCCGCACTCTGGTGAAGGGGCCAGGTAACTCAAAATCCTAGTTTTGTACTTGATGCAACAAAGAGAACTATTTGAATCCCTTCATGAATGCACAAATAAAACCTGTAATCCGAACCTCAGTCATGTTTTCTTGCACTCATCATTTTTTAGGCAAACTATTTCATTTCTGGTATGTTCCAACCCTCATTGGTGTGTCTAAAGGTTTTGTATTTGTCTTTCTGTTATTACTCAGAGTGTGCATATGTGGCCACGCCCATCGTCATGGTGCAGTCGGCCCTCACAATGCTCAACGAACCCACAGCCCTGCCCAAGAAGTGAGTTATAACAACATACTGCCTGACAAGGGAGTGACTTTTCACCCAAATACAGATTCAGCACACACAATTTGAATCTAAGGGTCTCTTTGCACAATTGATATGCTCGTTCCAAGTTATTCTCTAGTTTTTTGTTACATTTTGGATATACATATGCAGGACTAATATTTTGCAGGTCCTGTCCATTTGACCATATTTGTTATGTTATATTTAATCCATCTAGACAGTGACACATGGCAAAGTATTGTGTTAAATATTTTAATTGGAGTAGGCATAAAACTGAATATGCGCGACTGTTATATAAAATAACAACATAAGAGTTTTTCTAGAAGGTGATCTTACATACAGGAGCTTACACAGTTTTTAAAAAAATCCTAAATGATGCTTCAAACAAAGCTTTTTCATTTCTATGTTTTACGGTTTAGTGTGAATATCGCTTGAGGAATGAAACTCATTTGATATCCTTCATTTCCAGGGGAGGGGTCTACACTCCAGCAGCTCTTTTTGCAAAAACCACCCTGACGGACCGCCTCCACAAACACGGGATCGAGTTTACTGTCCTCTAAAGTTTGTCCCCTCCCTGATGCCATACTCCAGGTTTTTGTCAGCACTTACTAATACTTACAATATACTAATAATAAATGGAACGCTTCCTACTTTTATAAGAGGGCTATTTAATCGCGATAGCTTTATGGAGTGCACTTTCAGATTAAGCTCAAACAGCATTTTTGATTGCATTTTCTGCATTTATAATTTCTTTATTTAATCAGATACTTGCTGGTGTCTCTTTGGCTTGAATGTACTATTGACCCTCTGCTTGAAAGACAAAAGGTGCAGCAGCCAAGCACAACAATTATTCAACAATGCACAACAGCTGCGTGTGAACAGGTTTAACACGGCTATGCTCTAACATGATTATTGTCCATGAAGTTTGTTCAGGTTCGCTGTGTGTCATTTCAATTCATCTTTTTACCTAATTGGACAAAACATGTTTACTACTAGTCTTGCTCTACTACTGTACACTGTCAGGTGATACAAGTGAAAACATTTAGATTGCCTATTTATCATACCAAAGATCAGTTAGTGAAATATTGTACTGACAAATATGAAATTATGATCCAACAATGTTTACATCAAATTGTTAAAATTCTAATAATGGTGTGTCCACATCTTCTGCATAATAACAGAATCTCCTAAAGGATGCAGCTTTTATGATATTTACCTACTTATACGTGGCAACAAATCTCACATTCTCTCAACTGTTTCATCAAAGAGGAACGTTGCCAATTGTCATTACCCACAGAGTAGTGTAAAGCTATCTACTGTGTGTATGTGTGTGTCGGTGTGTGTGCATGTGTGTCCTTGCCTTTCCTGGCCTGTTAGCCTGATTGCTTTGTTTTTGACAGTTAATAGTTTGATAATGGCTAAATCATCATACTTTTTCAATCTTTCTACAGTTTGTTTGTATCTGAATGCTGCAATGGTTCACCATTACGAACTTGTGTTTGAGCCTTGACATAAAATGCATCCAGGCAGTTTGTGCACGAGACGGCACTGTTTACTCCAATGGACTGAAAGTATCCTGTCTGATGTTTTGTTAACATGTTTGTGGGGGGGGGTTTTATCCACAAAACTTTCAGTACTTATTTTTCCATTTTTGATTATGATTAGGTTTTGTTTGGTTGTGCTGCGCTTTGTTTCGGCCTCACAAATAAAATCATCTCTGCAAAAAAAAAAGTGCCTGTCTTTCTTGCAAAGATCTTTGGATACATACTTTATGAGCATAATGCATTTCCTGTCTACAGGAAGAGGTTCTCGTGATTGGTGGTTTACATGCAAATACCTTTTTTCAAAAAACAAAGAGTATTATAGAATTTTAAAGTTACAAGTTGGGACAATCTCTGAAGAAACACTCAATAAGTTGATATTGGTACATTTCCATTATCAAGAATGTTGTGCCTAATTGATTTGGCTCGCTATCACGCTGACCAAGTGAGAAATAGGTTGAGAAAAAATTAGTTCTGTGAGAAAGATGTTACTGACACAATGTCATTTTATCTAGTTTAAGACCTTATGATTCATTATTACCTTATTTAAAAATGAGTCGTATTTGTTTCTTAACAAAATGTCCCGTGTTTAAATAATCAAAGTCAACTTTATTGTCAATCTTCCAGTTTGTGTGTACAGACAGAGATCGAAATACCGTTTCCCACAATCTCAAATATAAAAACTAATGTATATAAAAAATATGTGTGCAAATATGTATATATATATATATATATATATATATACACGGTCAAAGACACATTTTTACATGTGCACACATTAAGACCTAAATAAAAACACAACAATCAATATGTACAAAATAACAGTCACTTCAATATTTGAGAATGTACATTGGTGCAAGATTGTCCATAGCAGCGTAAAAAGCGTCTGGTGCTAGATTTGAGTGTCTGAGTGTGTGGGGGAGTTATAGTCCAGAGGGGAGGGAGGGGAGAGAGTTCAGCCTCCTGACAGCCTGGTGTAAAAAACTGTTCTTTAGTCGAGTAGTGCTCGACCTCAGGCTGCGTAACCTCCTCCCGGAAGGCAGGAGGGTGAAGAGGCAGTTGGAGGGATGGGTGGGGTCACCCATAATGCTGAGTGCTCTGCGGGTGAGGCGGGTGTTGTAGAGGTCCAGGAGTGACGGGAGTGTGGCACCGATTATCCTCTCAGTTGTGCTCATAATAAAAGGATTATCATAAAAATACAATTAATGATTATTATTGTGGCCAGGATAGTCATGGTAAAGTGAACATTTCATATAGCCCCATTCCTGATTCTAGACAACTGAAAGTCAAGTATTGCATCAGTGAGAATCTCATCATGTATCGTTGAAAGAAAAACTTAAATCTTAAGCATCACTTTCACAGGAAGTGCCATCTTTTATGTTTTATAAATAATCCTTTAATGCTCTCACATTTAATTCAGTCAGCCATGAGCCATCCATAGTTTTTCTGAAAGACATCAGCTCAATAGCAGTGAGTTGAATCACGAAGCTCTCCACACTGTTGGCTCTAATATTGAACTAAGGTACAGAGAGTATGTCTTTCAGTTTTTAGAGTAAAGCAATCCTTTACTTTTCACAATTGAACTAACAGAAACAGTTTGTCAAATGTGGTATACCAATATCGTTATCATTCACAGTATGTTTTTCATTCAGAAAGAAGTGTCTACTATAAAAAATAACGTTTACTACACCTGTTGTACCTTATCCTGTCCTTACAGGATGGGTTTAGAAACGTTTTGCTTCAACATCAACAGTAGGCACACTGTGCAAAGCAACACAAAGGGCAAATGATATACTATTACGCAACGAATGGTGACTAATAACGAGTTCAACTTATTTTGCTAACTCATGTTGTTCAGACACATATTTTCGCACAGCAACAATGACTTTGGATTTTTTCTCTCATCTCCTACGTTTGGATCCTGTTGGGAAATGATCTTTTGTTGGTCATTCTGAACAGCCAACATGACTACATCAAAGTCACACACTCTCCTCCACACTGTGACAAAGCTTATTTCAGGAGTAATCTTCAGGTTGTGAGATTGCATGCTGATCGCTTGCTTACAATTAAAACAATGATTAGCAATAAAATACGTTCGTAGTAGCAGTGATATCCCCACAGAAAAGTGCATCAGCTACATTACATTAAGCTGACACTTTGATAAGTGCACTCAACCATGAGATAGTTCATATTTAGCTGTCTTTGGCTCTTTTCTTGCTGTAACTAATGCAAATGTTCTCTCTGTGGGATGTATAAAGGTGTTCTGATTCTAATTCTGAGCGACAAACTCAAAAGTCCTACAGGTACATTTCCTATCTATAAACCCAACCAGATGAAGGGCTACGTGTGTGTGTGTGTGTGTGTGTGTGTGTGTGTGTGTGTGTGTGTGTGTGTGTGTGTGTGTGTGTGTGTGTGTGTGTGTGTGTGTGTGTGTGTGTGTGTGTGTGTGTGTGTGTGTGTGTGTGTGTGTGTGTGTGTGTGTGTGTGTGTGTGGGGTGTGTGTGTGTGTGTGTGTGTGTGTGTGTGTGTGTGTGTGTGTGTGTGTGTGTGTGTGTGTGTGTGTGTGTGTGTGTGTACAATTTATATATGAAAAAAAAATGTTTTGCCAGCTATTTTACAATGCAACATCAGATAAAAGTAATTAAGAAAATCATACTCTCTAAGTCTTAACATGTTCAAGATTTCCAAAGACTGATTTGGGAAATTGTATTCCCAATCAAGGCCATATTTTTAGAATGAATTCAATGCAGCTTTTTAGGCTTTGTTCACAGGAACCTCGGACAATACAGTCGTTTTTGCACTGCCGCAATGACTTTGGAATTTGTCCCGTTATAGCTTACATTTAGATCCTGTGGGTAAGGGACATTTGGTTTGTCATCATGAACAGCTTTTTATCATCTTGTGAGATTACATGGTTGATAGCAATCAATCATTAAACCAAGAATTGGCATCAGCAATAATATATAATAAACTAATGTTTTTTACTAGCAGTGATATCAAGCAGCTGTCACTGAAACGTGATGTTATGCAAGTATGTATGACTATGTTAAATTGTATACATTTAACTATGTACTTGTCTGTCTGGATGTTTGTATTCATCCTCATCCATAGTGAGTCTTCGATATTATTGATATATCTTACTGACCAGCCCCTATAGTCTGTTTTATTACTTTTATTCCCTGCTGTATTGCTAATTGTATGTCTACATCTCTTTGGTTGAAATATCAATATATTATAATATAGGCTGTATCCTCTTGGTGTAATGACAAGCTGAGTTTGTGGAATTTTTAGACCTTTTTTTTAAAGTAAATGGTGTATTTAGCAGAATATCAATTTGCACAAATATATCTCATCTCACATTCAGAAAATACCACCTATGACTGAATTAAGAGCTGACGTTAATAAGATACTATAATGCAATAATGCATTATAGTACTAGTATAGTACTAGAAAGTATAGTAATACTTTCTTTCATGGAGACAGCTGCTGAAACAATCAATATATATAGTATTAAGAAAAACATTTGACTTTGCCATGACCGTTATTATAAAGTGCATATGGGCATATATAAACTTCACCATGTCAAGAAGTAAAATCGGACTAAAGCACCAAATATTGTAACAAAATTCAAATATTTATTCATAAAAATAAATGTATCTCCGGTACAAAACAGACAGCAAATTGTTCATGAATAGAAATGGCAGGAATATGATTTGTTCTTCCTCACATAATGTTTCTTGGCAGTTTAAATTGTAAAACATCTCATTTGTTCCACTTATTAGCTCATACTTTAAGCGCAACCTTACCAAACGATTATGTTTTCATTCTGCAGTTCAGTGGCTATCTAGCAACCTTTAGGAGGAGCCCCTCTTCTGCAGTACAATATCTTTGACGATAGCTTTCAAAGTACCAGCGTACTACATTTGCAGTTTGATCCATCTTTCAGTCCAGTGTTTGTTGCTCACACGTCTTCGTGGTTCAGCAGCTGGTGGGAGTAGATCACGTCTTCGTAGCGGTATTTCTCTGATATCGCCATGATGGAATCATTGCACCGGATACTACTTAGAATCTTCAGCACCTCAACCACAGCAGACCTTCAGGAGAGTAGGACACAGAAAGAGTGCATTACAGTATAGTCTGTTGTTATAAATGTATTAAGAAGAGTCATGACATCGGAGTGAATTTATGCTAAATACATTTCATTTCATGTCGTCACCAATGCTGCATACTTGATATGATGGGGAAATAGGTACGTACAAATAAAAAAACAGCCTTTTCAATATATAAGCATTTTGGATTTGAGCATTTGCGTGGCTTTGAAAGGTGAACTTAATGACGTGCTGCATTACGACCAGTGTTGGGCAAGTTACTTTTAAAAAGTAATAGTTACTGCTCTCAAAAAACTAACTAGTCACTTTATTAGTTACTAAATTATTAAAGTAACTAGTAACAAGTTACATTACTTTAAAAAATAATAACAATAAAAATACAAGTGTTTGTGTTGTTCTGTGGCACAGTAAGAGAAAAGACAACTGCCCATCATTGTAGCAATTATCATTATGAAATGTAGTGGAACAATAAAACAAAAGATATGTTTAGACATTTTGACAGGCATCTTTATTGTAGCCTCAACAATCAAGTTCTAAGTAGTGCACTTGTAGTCAGTGTTGGGACTAACGCGTTAGTAGTGGTTATATCTCCAAGTTGTAAATGCGCTGCTGCTCTCGCTGATACTTGCATCTGCCATTGTGTGTGTGTGTGCTGGTGGTGGGCGTTGCCGTGTGTGTTACAGGTACAGTAACGCGTTAGTCGCAACACTGATTACGACAAGAGTCTTTTTTTCATTTCACTCTGACCAAGTTGACCTTACAGCAAAACAAATGTTATGTTCCTTACTTGGTGTTTGGCTCCTCAGGAGGCTGCTGTTTGCAGATGCTATGAGCTTTCTGAACAAGGTGGTTTCTGAAGTTCTGGAGCTGAGGCAAACAGGAATTCTCTCCTTTGAACCAAGAGAGCGGCAGACTGTCTGCTATCTGAAGAAAGAGAGGGAGGAAGTGTGAGGTTAAGAACGTGAGGGGTAGTTGACGAACAGCCAGACCTTTATAAATCAAGCATAAACAAACAATGAAAATACACACATTGATCATTGAAAATACTAAATGTAAGCACCTTTCTGCATGCATGGACGGC